CCCAGTCACCACTAAATCTAGGGTTTTGGATGTTTATTTTAATTGCTTAAAAAAAGCCTCATACACCTGGTTAGGTGGCCTGTAGTAGACTCCTAGCATGACATCTCCCTTGTTTTTTACCCCTTTTAGCCTAACCCAGAGACTCTCAACGACTCCTATGTCCATCTCTACCTCAGTCCAAGGGTGTACATTTTTAATATATAAGGCAACACCTCCTCCCTGTACCCATCCATACCAACATTCCAATCATGTGTATTATCCCACCAAGTTTCAGTGACGCAACAATGTCATAGTTGTATTTATTTATTAGCACTTCCAGTTCTTCCTGCTTATTCCCCATACTTCTCGCATTTGTATATAGGCATCTAAGATACTGGTTTGATCTTTCCTCCCAGTTTTGTCCTGACTCTCCTTTCTCTCTGCCAATATAGCAAGCTTCCAACTTGCTTCTAAACCACTATTTCTAGGGACAGAGAAATGATGTTTTACAAGAAACATTAAGCCCACTTCTCTATCCCTACCTCTATTATATTTAGGCTTGGCAGAATTCTATTTTTTATAGTTTTGACAGATCAGTGTTTATTTTTAAGCATTGATATCAGTTTTAAATATTCAGTTTAAAATAGGTTATGCATTTTTTTTTTCAATTTTACCAATTTACATTTTCACAGTTGCAACATAGGGGGGGATGAAAGGGGTCAGTGAATAATTAGTTAAAGCTGAGATTCAAAAAGTTTAAAAGGTACCTAAACAGCACCCCTGGTCCAGCTCTCCTAATGCTGGCAATACAACATTTTTTATAAACAGGAAGGTGGGACTCAATCTCAAGCAGCATTTTTCTTTCTTTGCTCATTTGTACATTTTCATGAGGAGGAATGGAAATATTTTTCATCTACTTGTGTGTGTGTTCAGTGAAATCAACATTTAATTGATAAATACCTAATTCGGCCAAGCCTAATTTAGAGATTACAGTAGAGGAAGAAACTCCTTTCACTGACTATCACTCAATTTTAGAAATCCTATCAATTGTTTACAAGGACAGACAACAAACTGCACACTAACAGCAGAAAGAGAACTTGTTCTAGATGAGAAACCAGCAACCCATTGTAGGACTTGTCTACATCAACAGCATGCAGCAAGCTGCAGTATAAATCTACCTCACACGAGTCTGCTGCTGGGTACTACAAAGTGCACTAGGGAACTGGTAGTTTGCAACGGCAACGTCCACATGGACAGTTCGTACATAGCAGGCTAGTGTGTGGTAGATTTACATTTGCCATGCACTAAATGTTCGTATAGACAAGCCCTTAAGTGAATAGCACTTCAATCAACTGCTTTTTTCAAACAGCAAATTATCTATTACATTTGAGGATGGTTTCTCAGTTTGGTTTACCATACACAAAAAACTTTAATCTCATGCTTACCTGCAGGCCAATTACACTTTGGCCAGCTTTTAGTTTTCCTGCATCAAAACTCCTTGCTTGTTTTTCTGCATATTTGACACCAAGATCAATTGTGGTATGGAATCCTTTGGTTTTTGCCTAAGTAAAAACAAGTCATTCAAAAAGTGAACACTCACTTTTCAAATCATACTTCTTGCCATTAGAACTTCTTGAAGGAATTACACCCCATCCACAGACAGCAGGCTAAGCTTTTCAAAAGTGACTAATAATTGAGTGCCTCAACTTTTGGGTCCCAAACTTAAGATGCCTTATGTGGGCCTGATTTTCAGAAAGTGCTGCAAATCTGTACTCTGAAAATCAGTCCCTTTAAGGTGTCACTATGGGAACTAAAAAAACCACCACCCAAAATCATTAGTCACTTCTTAAAAATATTGGCCAGCAAATTTTAGATTTGCTTGAAAAGAGAAAGTATTACTTAACTAAGTCTTACATTTAGTATGTACATCTTTTACTGCTAGAAACATTTTCTAATATTAAACTATAGTCATCCTGTACAATTAGGTAAGTGGCAGGATTTTTTCTACTGGTTATGTAGCCAACCACACTAGTAATAATTCACATAGCCTTCTGAAATTCAAAAGGATTAATACATGTGATTCATTGGTCGTCTTCACCCTGAAAAATCCATGGGCTGGGGGAGAGGGGGGGGGGGGGG